GACTGGGGCTCTGTCGGGTGTGGTGTGAGGGGCAAGAATTACCCTCCTTGGGAATCCCAGAGTGTCCTAGGACAAAAGCAAGGAAGTATGAGAGCCATGCACTTGAATAGGCTCCAGCATGGCATGGTCTCAGAGGGCAGGAAGCAGGTGCTGGACATAGTAGGACTCAGAGAGGGGCAGCCTCCAATGCCACCACCCTGGTCAGCCATGGAAGCATCCCGCCAATTGTTCCAAGGGAGCTCCTGAAGCAAGTCAACTGCTGCCCCTGAGACATAAGCTCCCTACTTGGGGCCACGGAGGTAATTAGGGTCTGTCTCCAGAAGGGCTCACATTTATCAGTGGCAGCTGCTTGGTCCCAGCTGGCCATAAGTCACAACACTTTGGATGTATTTCTCTGGAGTTGACATCCTCTTGTAAATAACATGGAAAATGCTCTCAGCTCCTGGCAGAAGTCTTCCCCCACCTCACTCTGTCTTTAGAGTGACTTTTCAGCAAAACTGCAAGTGTCCAGGAAGCTCACTTACAGACTCCTCCCAAGCACCAGGTGAGACGGGCCAGGTGTGCAGGAGCCCTCCCCCATCTAGGGTGGGACATGATGCTGATTTTATGATACACAGCTATTCAGCTTCAAAAGGAAGAGCCCTTTGACCTGGGGTTCAAGACATAAGGACACAGCATTGTTGAAGTCTGACAAGTTTGTGGCAAACATCTAAAAAGGTGAACTATGACAATCATAGTTAAATAAAGCAACTTGTCACTTGTGAAGCTCCTTCAAGGGGATTCAAGAGGACAAGATAGAGTCAAGGGTCCATCAGGAAAGAGCCCCAGACGCACTGTGGGTGGAAAGACACTATAAGCATTTATGAAGGGCCAGGTGACACACACTGTGTCAGCTATGCCTTCCAAAAGCTCACAGAAGTGCTATTGGCTGTGAGTGTAAGAGATGTTTTAAGTATGCAGAGAGGCTTCTCTCTCTCTCTCTCTCTCTCTCTCTCTCTCTCTCTCTCACACACACACACACACACACACACACACACACACACACACACACAGAGTTTAAGCAGAAGTTTCCTACGCAGGTGAATAATGCATCTTCTAGAAGACCTGTGTGAAGTGCAAATTTCATAGCCAGTTGTGGGACACCTCCTTAGCAGTCATTTGTCAGGGAAGGCTCAGAGGCAGTCAAACCTGCATAAGATATTAGCACTGATCTCGGTTGCCAATCATAACTACACAGTGAGACCCTACTGCTGAGGGCACCAGTCAGTTCAGTTGCAGAGCGTAGGGAAACCAGGAAACTCTCCTGCAGCTGGCTTATGCAGTGCCAGAAGTCGAGGTACAAGAGATCTCAGTAACTTATCAGTTAGCTGACCCTGCATGTTGCAGAACCAACCTGCTGGCTAGACGGCCCACTGGTGCAACAATGGCATGATGTTTATGGGGCAACCATCCACTTCCTGGCAGTGTATGAGACCTGCTCCATGGGGGCGGGGGCATCCACACCTGGCAATCTGAGGTGCTACTGTGAGGTGCATACAGACGGGGGCAGTGGAGGGATTCAAACCTAGGTTCAAAGCTGGGCCCCTCCTCTTGTTTGCTGTGTGACACTGAGTGAATTATCCCCCCCCTCTGAATCACAGCAAATGGTGAACTATTGCCAAATGTGATTCATACTTCTACTCCAAACTCTGTGCCGTGGTCAGTTATTCATTTATGGAGTATAGCTTATGAACCAGCCCTGAGGACAAGGACATGAAGAATTCAGGCAAGGGGTCCCTTATTACAAATGTGCCAGCACACCCATGCTTCTGTTCGGGGTTACAGCTGGCTTGACTCAGGAGTAGCAGGGGACAGAATAGGGAGCTCAGGAGACACTGGAGGGCATTGCCAGAGGTCTGCAAGGCTCCAGTCATCTTCCTGCTGAGACACCCCACTTCCTGGAAATACAGTCAGGGCAGACTGGGCTTGTCTGGGTCTGTTCCACACGGCGGTGGCTTTCCTATCTGTCACTCCATCCTTCTATCACCAGAGCAGCAGTGAGCGGTTCATCTTAATTACATATCTGCTGGACCTCGTGTTTCTGAAGCACGGACATTAGGCTCTGATAACAGCAGGTTCACCCTTGCAGGGGAAAACAAATGAGCACAGTGCATTGGAGCTGAAATGCAGAGAGCAAAGGACAGAGGTCATGCCATTAGGGAAAGACTGTGACATCCAATTGAGAGTTGTGCTGTTGGCAATCCCACGGATTTGTGGGTGTACTGTTTTGAGTTATCACCACACTGTTGGTGGGATTGTAAAACTTGCAGAAACGCTATGGAAATCAGTGTGGAGAGCCCTCAAAAGACAAGAAATGCATCTGTAATATGCCCCAGCTATACCATGCCTTGACGTATGCCCACTGAGCTTTCCGTCCCACTCCACGGATCTTTGCTCAGCTACAGTCATGCTCTTTGCTGCTCTACTCACAATCGCCAGGAAATGGACACAACATAGATGTCCTTCAGCCTACAATGAGTAATGAAAATATGGCACACATATACACTGTGGAATGAAAAGAGAAACAAACTCTTCAGGTAAATGGACAGAACTAGAAAAGATCATGTTAAGTGAGGTAACCCAGACCAGAAAGACAAATGTCATGGGTTCTATTTCACCAGAGGCCCCCAGTTCCAGATCTTCGGATATGGATGTAGATCCCAGGAAAAGTGCAGAAGCCAGGAAAGTAAAAGGGGTTGGAGACTAGCAGAATACAAGGGATCTGATGGAGGGAATGAGAAAAGGGGGAGTCTAATTAGGGGCGTGGAGAGAAAAAGGAGGGAGGAGGATAAAATAACAGCAGGGATGTCTGAGAAAGTCATTAGGAATCATCCTATTAACTACCTAAAATACCTATAATGCACATAGTAAATAACAAAATAAACATATACTGTTTAAATAAAAATTCTTCATCTGAGCTAACAATGTACTTCAAGAGCCAAAGACCATCTAACAAAAACCCCAACAGCAGGCACGAGAAGCTCCCCCTGCCTTTGAGCTGTTAGTCAGGGTTATCTGAGAGAGCCCCAAAGCATTCTAGACTCTTGCTGTTGCCCTTGGCTGCCTCCCAGAGATAAGTCCCTATTGCTGAAGACACCATGCACTTTGGACAGAACCCAGAAGACCTGAGTTGGAACTGACCTGGATGTCTCTTTCCCAAGGTTTAGCTTTCATGGTGCCAAAGGTGACATACAGCTTCCATATGAGAAGCAATCTACAGTCCTACCCAGCTATGACGCCTATGAAACATAACAATGACGAGCGTGGCGTGATAACACCAAGGGTGCAGTAGTGGCATGCACACCTTGGCTGCAACCAACAGTTCTCTAATTGTTCATAAGGCTTGCTGAACAAGAGGGAAACCATGCCTAGTACTGGAAACCTAACCAATTACTCAGGCCAAGTGAAATCATGGATCATGGAGGAGAACCTACAAGTGTCACTTTACTAACCCAGCATAATCCCTAACTATTCTCTAAACACTTGTCCTTACACCCACAGATAAGGGTAGTTCTCACCTTTCATCAAGAAAACCTCTCTTTACAACATATGGACACCGTTAAAGAAAACTACAACCAGCCAAAATGCAGAGTTATGCAGCCTAATCTCAACAGATATGTCAACTACTCCTGAACCCAAGATTTGGGGACCACTGAGAAAAAGAGGCAGGAAGATTATAAGAACAGAAGATCAGGGAGTTTGATGTGAGATAATGTTTCCTAGTAATGTCAGATGCTACGGCTGTAAAGTGCCACCAACATGACTGCCCAAAAATGACCTGAACATTAATGACACCTATAGACATGCTAAATAGATGGTCATGCGTGTGTGGGGAGACCCATGAGGCATCAACCCTACACAAAGAACTGTAGGCAACTAAGAAATTCTGGGAGGGGGAGGGGAAGTGCACACCATAAGCGTATCCAATATCAAATAGACAACCCTGAAAATATATACATATGCCTAACATACAGGTTGAGCAGGTTTTATTTATGTATTTAGGAATACACACAAACACACATGTGTGTGCACATGTGTGTACACATACACATACATACATACACATGTATATAACCACACATGTATATAACAATTAATGAGAAAGAAACCACGAATTTAAAAGAGGACAAAGAGAGGTATATAGGAGGGCTTGGAGGGAGGTAAGAGAAGAGGGAAATGATATAATCATATTATAATCACAAAAGTAAAATAGATAATTAAAAAGCATTATTTGCATTCTTAATTATTTGTAGGCTTGTGTATCTAAACTATGTATGCACACTTGAGTGCAGTTGCCCTAGGAGTCCAGAAAAAGGCATTCATTCCCCCCAGGAGCTGAAGCTACAGGTGGCTGTGATCTGCCCACTGTGGGTGCTGGGAACTGAGCTCAGGTGCCGTGCAAATTCTGCTGAGCCCCATCCCACGATTATAAAATCTTACATTCAAGATTTTAAATTTCTCTGTGAGAAACACAGTTCAATAGATTTTTTTCTTATTAATCTTGCAAAGTCTGTATCTAGCTCTACTACAACATTGGCAGCTGAGACAACGGGCATTGAGTCAGTGTGCCCGGCTTTAGCTTGGTTTTCTTTATGACTCCACTCAAATACAACAGCCCATAGGGAAACAAAACCATAACTGACCATGCTTATTAATGAAACAGATTCGCTAGTATGACACCAGGCACAGGAACAGTGGTAAAGATTAGTTATTCTTTGTCTGCACCAAACTGCTCAAAATAACTGATGAGCTGTCTGTGTTACCGCTGCATCCTTACCGCTATCTGAGTCAGTGACCAGCATTGGATCCGCACTTCTCAGACCCTGAGAGGGCAGGTAACCCACTTAAAGCCACACAGCTGGGAAGTGGCCAGGTCCCCCTCTGCCCCACCACCAGGTTAGCCTGCAAGCATGAGTCCCTGAGGGGTCGGCCACGAGCAGGCCACAGACCAAGCCTCTTACCTGGGGCTGAGGAGAGAGCTGCTGACAGCCGACTGTCGAGAAGGGGTCCTCACGGTATCTGTGGCCAGGGACAGGGAGCAGCTCATCCAGGACCGAAGACTGCCCTCTGGCTGGGAGCTGATGACAGAGACATTGTCCCTAGAAACCAAAGTTAGGACACTGATCACAGTGGCAGCCACAGCAAGGGTCATAACCAGATCGTCATTACATGCCGTGAGCCCGGGCCCTGAAGAACATTCTACATGTGATGCCACAGCCAGAGACCCGTGAATGGGAGGAAGCTCCGGCATTTGGAGGGGCCACCTTGGGTCTTAGCCAAGGCCACCAGACCAGTGCCTGATGAAGTCTGGGTGGAAAACCTGCTTGCTTTTACCCCCTTGCACTCTTGGACACATACACACACACACACACACACACACACACACACACACTAAGGTGCCTCCTTGACATGAGGGTCCAGTACGGTGTTGAATTTTGTACCCAGTGATATGTTCATGGGATATGCAGGGGTGAAGGTCTTCAATCCTCCCCTACCTTTTGGGGATCACCTTGGCAAGCTGGGTCTTCTCTTTATGTTCTTTGATTGTGAAAGTAGCACCAAGGGAGGGTTACACAGCTACTGTGTGTGTGTGTGTGCCTGCACACTCACACAAGTACACATGGGCCCACACATGTACAAATGTGTGGCGTGCTTATGTGACAGTAAGTGGGTTACCATGGGACAGGGGCTTGACATTAACCCTAGCAGCATGGATAAATATCTGTGTGAGCAGCCACGAAATGAAGGCTCCACTATCACAGCTACGGAGAGGGGCAGAGGGCCAGCTCACAGGCTAAGTAAGGGACCTCCGTTTCCTTCCTGAAGGAGAAGGGAAGTCAGTGCCGCAGCTGAGCCCTGCCACTGGCTGGAAGGGGAGGGCCTGGTGGGAACAGTGCACACACAGGTGTGGAGGTCACAAAAGGTCAGGGTAAGCAGAAGCCACAGGTGAAGAAGGGATCAAAGGTCACCACAGAATGCAAGCGCCTATCTCAAAGGTCTGTTCTGGGGCAACAGGGAGCCGCTGAGGGTGGTGGTGGGGCAGTGGCACAGTCACCCATGGGCTCCCCTCTGTCTAGCCAAAGTCGGTCAGGTGTACATGAGGCACACTAGAGCTTCACATTCGGGTGGATGTGGATATTTTCCCTGCGAACTGCACACACAGCCAGCGGCTGCCTCTGGAAGCTGCTGGGGCTTACTTACTCTTCTTTTCTGCTGCGGCTGCCACAGTCCACGGCTGTCTGGACACTAGGAGAGACACAAGACAAGGCCTGTCATCATTGTGCAGCCAGGGTTAGGGACCTGGTCTCCAACGCGGCTCACACCTGGGTTTGACTCTCACCTCTGCCCTTTGCCACTGTGTGGTTATAGGGCAGCGAGTTGTCCTCGATGGGACTTCTGCCTTCCTTTGCAAATTGTGGGTGATTGCTAATACGTAGGCGTCTGCCTCTGCCCCTGTGGAGCCTGAGGTGACCCTCGTGGGTTGCTCATCATGGTTCCAGGAGAACAGGGACAACCATTATCACTACCCTTTAAAAACTCGACCAAGGTGGGGCTCTGGCTACTCTTCTAGAAGGCTCAGGTTCAAATTCCAGCTCCCACATGGGAGCTCACAATCATCTGTTACAACAATTCCAGGGAATCCAGTGTTTTCTTCTTACCTCCAAGGGCACCAGGCACACTCGCGGTGAACAGACATATATAGGCCAAACACTCAGACATAAAGCAAAACAAAACAAAATTTTGAAATACACTGGCATCGCTGGTATTAATCATATTGTTATTGACAGCATGCCTGGAGCTTGCCTCATATTCTTTGGGAAGCCAACAAATCAAGACATACAGGCAGGATCGCTTGCTGGGGCATTATGGGAAAGTCCTAATCTAATTACACCGGTAGCTATTCTTGAGGGAGAAACACTGTTCAGACACTCTGCCCACGCCACCTGCCTCCATTTTATAGATGAATCTAGTACACTCTTGCACAAGGCCACTGAACTTCCAACCCCAGCTTTGTGATGAACACACGGTGTGCTGATAGTTAGTGTGCTGCAGCCCCCAAAAGGGGAGCAGACAAGACCAAAAGCCCCTACATCTAAGTTGCCTTAACTCTGAATTCTCGAGCTGGGCCTCTAACCATGATGTCTGCTGAGATTTGGGCAAGTCTGGGGAGGTGCATATATTGTTTGACTCTTTCTCTAAAGGTCTTTGGCCCACTGGACACCGTTCTTCACAGGGACAGCTCTGAACAGCCCCCCCCCAGCCTGATGACAGTGCACACATGGCCACTGACGCTCATTCAGTCTTGATCCATGAAGGCTGCTATGGGGACTCAGCATCCAGAACCACTACCTCCTGGAGGACTCAGCATCCAGAACCACTACCTCCTGGAGGACTCAGCATCTAGAACCACTACCTCCTGGAGGACTCAGCATCTAGAACCACTACCTCCTGGAGGACTCAGCATCTAGAACTCTACCTCCTGGAGGATCCAGCATCCAGAACCACTACCTCCTGGAGGATCCAGCATCCAGAACCACTACCTCCTGGAGGATCCAGCATCCAGAACCACTACCTCCTGGAGAACTCAGCATCTAGAACTCTACCTCCTGAAGGACTCTTTCCTTTAGAGACACGACTACATTCTGCTGTCAGATTTCACCGCCCTCTCTACCGGTCCACACTGGCTGTGTGATGCTTCTGGGCCTGCTCTGTAGGAGCAGACCCCCTATTCCTTCCCCCGGCCCCCAACCCCGAGCATGTGCATCCAATCCACGTGCTTCCTGCCTCCCAATGGGCTCAGCCGCTGAGACATCAGCTGACTGCAGAAGGAAGAAGGAAGGCAGAGAGGCCGCAGTGTTCATTCCCCGATTTTCTCTCTGCTGCAGGACACTGGGCTGGTTGACTTGCTGCAGCCTCCTCTATGTGGCCATGCCACCGTTTCAGAATTTACACATTCTCTTGCCCTTTTAACACAGTGGCAGTAATTGGTATTGGTTCTTGGCCACTCCCCCTGCATGCTTCACCCACTGTGGTTCCCACTCCACACACACAGCTTTGTAAACAGCACCTCCGTATGGAGTTGGCCTTCACACTCCAGCGGACCACTCTGCTGGTTCAAGCCCACGATAGTCTCCAGCTGATCAGGGAGATCTGGCTTTCCCATGCCTCATGATTACACCATGTAGCCCACCAACCACTCTGTGTGTGTGTGTGTGTGTGTAAGGTAATGTATCTGAGTCCATCTCACAAGAAATAAAATTGTACTACCATTACTGCACCCGCCTCCCCTGCCCCCACCCAAGCCAGTGCTTGGAGCAAGCAGGCCACATTCAAGTTAGTCATCCTCCTCTATTAAGGGCAAGTGGAGGCTGGAGGCCAGAAGAGCTGTCGTGGAGCTGCTCTGGTTGGCCAAAGGGGCAAGGCTCAAACCCCAGCCCTTGACTGGAGCGGGCAGTTCTTTCTGTCATCCTGGTCAGTGTTGTTTTCCAAAAGGAACTTGTGCCAGGAATTTTTAAACAGGCGTTGGTGAGGATCAAGGTAATTGATTAAGTGTCTTCAAATGTGTTCCTTCGGGATACCTTTGCCAGACAGCTGCAGTCTAAATGCAAATACAGCCTGGGAAGCAATGCCTAAATTCATCTGCTCTGTGTCAGTGACTGACATGAGCTCACCAATATGGCAGCCCAGATGAGAGCAGAGACCTTGGTATGAGATGAAGGACACATGGCTATGTCCCATGTGACAACAAAGCCACCTTTGGCTGAGAGTAAGGCCAGCCTCAAAACTAAGGCATGGCTTCATTGCTTAGTGTGTGCAACATATGGGCACCCAAGAGATGCAGTTTTCTTATCTTTGATTTGGTAAGGAAAATGATGACAGGAGCCCAGAGACTATGCAAGGGCATCCAGTGTCCAGCAGTAACAATTGTCCTACAGAAAGGGCACATGACGTCATCATCATCAGTTACCACACTTGGAAATAGACAATGAATTGTGGTACCTTTGGTTCTCTGGGAATCTATCTCATCAGCTAGGTTTTGGATACAACCATACTTAGAAAGCCAGGCAACCTACACAGCATCATTTAAACACATGCTACAGGGCACAGGGGCCTATGCTGTGACTCTAACTGGGCATCACCCTTCTTAGATACATGGAGAGCTCACTCAAGCTGTCCTTCCAGGTCAAGTCATGTTCAGTACTCATGGGGGCCAGTTGTGGTGAGAATGCTGTCCCCTCATGCATGGGGAATTTCATATTCTGGCCAGAGCCAGGGCTCAGGAGTGAGTGGCTGACTCGCAATGTGTCCTCAGAAGACCAGTTTCAGGTTCCATCCAGATACATCCCCATCTTGTCCACAGCTTGATGTCAGATAGGTTATTAGAACGTGTGTGTTGGAAAGTGCCCTGTTTCCACAGTCCCCAAGGGCACGCTCACTGACTCCCAGAGTGCTCATCTCAGACGGGCCCAGCAGGAACCGACACACTTTTATCTGTGGCTCTGAAGGGAGGTGTAACCTGTGAATCCCTCCACATTTCACTACATCCCCAGGCAAGGCAACAGGCAGAGCAGCTGCAGACTCTGGGGCCAGGAATAGATGGGGTCACCTGTCAGCCAATGCAGTCAGCCAATGCGGTCCTCCCTCCATGACTAATGAGCGTGTTCCAAGCCTGGGGACCAACTGAAGACATTTCCCCCATTAATCTAAGAAGGCAGATGCCACACTCTGACAACGCCAGGCCCTGGTGCAAAGTCGCATGGGCTGAAGCACCGCTGTGGGCTGCCGACTTTCTGAGCACGTGGTTCCACTTCCAGGCTGCAAGGCCTACTCCATTAAGATCTGATTCCATGTGAGTTGTGATTTGGCTCAAGATTCCCACCTGGCAGTTTGGGGAGTTAGGTTTTCGCTCTCCCTTGACTTCTCCTCCTCTTACTCTTCCTTCCCCACCCCAGTGGTCTGAATCCTAATTAGGAATTCATAAAGAAGTATCCAGGACCAATCCTTTGGGCTCCAATCTGAGCCTCCTAGTCCAGATAAGCAGGTACAGCACACAGTTTGGGGCTGTTGACGTGGGGACTGAGCTGGCACCGGGGCAGGAACTGGGTACCCTGCTCTGTGCAGTGGACACCTATAATGGTGCAAACTATCTTCTTTTTGTCTTCAGGAGTCAGTGATGTTCCTCCTGGGTTGTCCTGGTTATTTTATTGTCAACTTGACACAAATTAGAGTCATCTGGAAAGAGGAACCTCAACTGAAAGAAAAATACCTCCATCAGAGTGGCCTGTAGGTGTGTCTATAGGGCATTTTCTTAATTAATGATGGATGCGGGAGGGTCCACCCCAGTGTGGATGGTGCCATCCCCAGACAGATGGTCCTAGATGCCATAAGAAATGAGAAAGCCATGAGGAGCAAGCCAGTAAGCCGTGCTCCTCCACGGTGTGGGCTTCAGTGCCGCCTCCAGGTTCCTGCCTGGAGTTCCTGCCCTGGCTTCCTCTGGTGATGGACTGTGATGTAGAGGCCTGAGCTGAAACGAACCATCTCCTCACCAAGTTTACTCTAGTCGTGGTGGGGGCCAGCAATCGAAACCCTAACCAAGACAGCGGCTAACAGCAGATCTGAGCACTGCTGATCCTTTGGAATGAGCCGCATCTTTAGGCTGCTTACCACAGCCTAGGTATACCACAAGCTGCACCACAGGGCCTGCAACAGGGCAGACACCCCGCAGAAATGGGTACAGTGCTGGCAGGACAAGGTCCCATGCTTCATAGGTGACAAGGACATAGTCTCTTCTCTCTCAACCCAAACAAGCCAGCTGCGCCTTCAACCCTTGGGCATACAGCCTGGGACCTCCGGGGACTACGGAGCTCTGCACAGCACAACCCCACTTCCGACCCATACATTGCTGGTTACCTTTCTGTGTCACTGTCACTAGATGCCACCTCTTCCAAGGCTGCCTGCAGGTCTGCGATGCGCCGGATGGAAGTCTCCAGGTCAGCCTGCAGTGTTTGCCTCACAGCTGCAAGCTCCTCCACATATTTCTCCTGCAGACATAAACCACAGGACACATTGGCCTTGAGTGAGGAGTCCACCCCACTCCAGAGTTCCAGGGCTGAAGGGACACCCCGAGCACAGACTATAGCTCATTAGCAAGTGCTTCCCAGGCTCTCACTGCAGATGGAGAAAATATGAAGCTCCGAGGGTCCCAGGCAGGTACAACATATTCTGCACAGGAGGGAATAGACTCTAGGGGACCCTCCTGGAATGCCCCAGGCATACAAAGCTGGGTCACCCATGCAGAGCACTGCTCCTCATGTGTGTATGAGCCATGGTTGGATTTATACCACCACCTCACTGAGAGCTCAGCCATCTTCAATGGATCAGTAAATGGGCCAGAGGTTCCTGGGAAAGCTGAGCATGAGCGATGGACTTGGTGTAAAAGGTTTGGAGCAGCACAGAGCAGGGCTCTGACACCTGGGCATCCATCTTCCTGCTCTCAGTGCTGTTCCAGGCTATGCCTGGCTATGCACTGCAACACTCCTCACCGTGACAGTCATGGGCCAACCCTCTGGAACTGTAAGAAGCCCCCAATTAAGTGATTTCTTTTATAAGGATTGCCTTGGCTATGGTTTTCAGAGTGATAGAAAGTAACTAAGACACTAGAAAAAGCGGGGCCCCCTGTAGAGTGACAAACCGGGCAGGCATTTACAGGGCACTTTTTGTGGCCAGCACTAGTCAGCTGATCAAAGCCCACACACACACACCGCGTGAGAGCCTGGCAGGTGAGTCATCATTGTCATCCCACCTCAGAGCTGGGAGGACTCATCAAAGGTGCTAGAACTCCTGCTTAGTGCTCCCCACTCCCTTTGTGGTGCTCAGTCACTGAGCTCAGTACTCCCCAGTGCTGCCATGACTCAATTTTGTCTTGACTCTTTGGAAATTTTCTGATGTCCACAGAGCATCTAATCTCAGTTTATCCTTTAGCACCAAACTTGTTCACAGAAGGTGAGTTGGCCCCTGGGGACGTTAACTCTAGAGACAGAGTTGGCTGCCATGCCTTGGAGTACACCGTGATATGTTGCAGGACAGATGATGTTATATCCCACAATGCACCAGACTCTCCAAGTTAGAGACTCATCCAGCTACACCCGGAATCTCTCATCTGGAAATAAATTCCATGGGGGACGAGTCAGGAGGCAAAGTAGGGCCTTGAACATGAGCTTGCCCATTCTTCATCTGCTGTCTATGGGCGATAGGCTCAGAGTCCTGCCTCATCTTGGGAATCTGGGGGAGTCTGCTGACCATAGAGACCAAGACATCAGTCCCAGCACTGAAGAGCCCAGCAAAAGAAGACAAAATAAGGCCCCCATCCCTGTCAGAACTTAGAGAGATAAAGCCACAGAGTGAGAAGGGGTCAGTTGGAGGCAGGAGACTCAGGCTGGGATCCCTCAGCCTCACTATGCCTTCTATGGACAGACGCCTGGCTGGCATGATGCTAAAATTTGATCACACTGGGGGCTCGACTGCCTCTCAAGAGCACAACTGTGTTCTGAAGTCTGTATGAGCTCAAGACCCTCAGTCGTTAGCACGGTGCATGGTGAAACTTAGGGGTAGGAACACAAGTAGGATATAAGCCTGTTTAGGTAGTTAGATACATGCATGACATAAATCACCTGATTACCAGACAGATCTATAGCTGTGAAGCAGGAAAAGAAACTGACAGAAATGGCTTCCACATGCACAAGTGAGTGCTACGAACTGCTCTACCGTCCAGTCACACACCTGCACATTCAATGAGCATTTATTGAACACCTATTGCATGCCACCTTCCATGGAGCTAATGCTGTCAGAGAAGTCGATCCACCTGTACTGCTGACACCAGGCACACAGTAGGCAGATACATGTGTAGGGTGGAGAGAGTCCGTGTTATATGTGACTGTTGGTGACAAGGACAAGGTCTGAGGCACACATGGATGCACACACATCATGTTTACCAAGATAAAGACAACACTGCGTAGCCTGTGCTCTTGGCCCAGCATTGCTAGAAGGAATCAGGAGCCCTTTAAGACTTCCAGATTGCTGCTCTCCAAGGGGCACTCCAAGCAGAGTCACTACGTGGGAAGCAGTTCAGACGATAATTAATGTCGGCAATTAAAATCGTCTCTGCGCATGACATTCAATTAGAGGCTAATACCAATACACCAGTGCTGTTGTTTGCTGCTTGTTGCTTTACTCAGAGCACTCTGCTCTCCAGAGACCTCCTCCTGCCTGACACAGGAGGGAACTTCCCCTCGGGCTCCTTGAGGCAGTCTCTCAAGGTTCAGATAGCCTGCATCAGGGTTTGCCTGAAAGGACAGATCTCCCAATACCCTTGAAATTCATCTATCTTGCTGTATTCACACAGTAAGGACAGACAGAAGCTTCTTGTTCAGTAGGACATGGATGTTTGAGTGCACAGGCTGATACACATGTAGCTATTACCAGTGGCTTGTTTAATAAATATAAGCACATATCTATCAACATCTGCGTAATTAGCAATTGGCAAGTCTTTCTGACTTCAACTCTGCAGCCCAGGCTGACCTTGCACTTTCCATCCTCCTGCCTCAACCTCACCGGTACCTGGGCTTTACAGGCCACCACTATCACAACCAGATCCTGTTTCAATATAAAATCCAAATAGCTTTGAATGACACACGGACAAGAGTCTTTCCAAAACAACCCTGAGACATGCTGAGAGCACGGAGTGTTTTTATACTCATCATACACGCTTGTGACATACCTGAGCACACAGTGGCTACTGCTGAGCTAGTTCATAAAGGAACGAGTTGATCTATGGTTCTTATTCTGACTGGCGGTCTGCCGAATGGCTGAAATATCTAATCTTGCTTAATATTAATAAGATTCCTTAGATCCAAGCACCGTGGAAACAAAATATAATTGGAGAATGTTAGGCTATGGCCATTCTCCCTGGCATGAGCTATCAAAACATGCTTATGTCTCTTTTTTATGCTTTTTCAGATTCTTTACAGAGGCTATGAATTCCATGTATTACGAGAAAGTTGGAAAATGGGCCTCATTTCTCTGGTCCACTGCAAATGAAATCCCTTCTACCTGATCGAGAGTGAGAAAGCCAGCTATCATCAGGAAAAAGGAGCAGGGGATATGCAGGCACTGCCGCACCAGGTCATTCCCTTAACCATCCAGAAAACACACTGTCTCATTCTATTTTTATGGTGCCATAATAGACACAGAGAGACTCATCAAAGACCTCATTTTAGTTCATTTTCTGTTGCTATAATAGAACACCCGAGACTAGATAATTTATATAGAGAAGTCGTTTATTTTGGCCCGTGGTTCTGTGAGTCCAAGGGCATGGCACCAACATGTGCTTGGCTTCTGCCAATGGTCACATGCACCTGACAGAAAATGGAAAACAAAAAGGGACTGAGACGCCATCAGTGAGAACAAGGTGTTTCCAGGGTCCCTTCTTGACAGACACTCTGGAGGCAATCACCATGGTTCCCTGAGAAGAACTCAGGTGTATGTGTGGGAGGAGGGGATGTGGGTGTGTAAAACCTTAACACCCTCCCCCATGTCCCCACCCATAGACTAGAGCACCTCTGATGGGTGATGTACACACACACACACACACACACACACAACACACACACACACACACGATGGGGGATATTCTTGTGTATGTATGTTTCTCTTATTGGTTGATGAATAAAACACTGTTTGGCCAATAGAGGCAGGAAGATAGGTGGAGCTAGGGGATGTGGAGAATGCTGGGGAGAGAGGCAGAAGGGCCTCCAGAGGAGACACCATGTAGCTGCCAAAGGAGTAGCAGGTCCAGGCATTCTCCAGTAAGCTAAGACCACGGGAAAATACATAGATTAGTAGTTATGGGTTAATGATTAAGACAGAGCTAGCCAATAAAAAATGCTAGCCATCAGACAACAGTTTAATAATTAATACAGTGTCTGTGAGTTATTTGGTGCTAAAGTGGCCGCAGGACAGGCTGGAAAGAAAACTCAAGTTATACACCCCCCCCCAAAGGTCTCACCACCTTTCAGCACTGTTAACTGGATATTTTGGAGACCAAATTCTAGTTGTTCTTTGCTGGGAACAATCAGATTCAAACCTTAGCAGATCCCAAAGACACACACAGAAAGAGACAGGGAGGCAGGTGTGGTGGTGAACGCCTTGGACCCTAGTGCTCAGGTACAGGGGCAGACAGAGCTCTGTAAATTCTAGGCTAGCCTGGTCTTCAGAGAGACCTCCAGGACATCCAGGGCTACATAGAGAAATCCTGTCTCACCACCACTACCACCACCAAAAAGAAAGTGGCAGAGAGGTACACATTGAGACATGATTACGGGGCCAGTAAACACCTAACTGCTCCTCCTCACCCGGGGCAGGCATGCCTGATGGGTCAGTGCACAAACCTGAGCAACCAGGAGGCAATGTCTCTTCCCTTCACTGCCTAGCTGGGTGCCTCGGCCCCCGACTGGCCTACGCTTCTTCAGTCAGTGGCAACTAGAATGCCGGACCTTATCACGCCTTAAGTGATGGCAGTCTGCCCAGAACTGCCCCCTGAGTCCTCAAAGAACGCAGTGAGACATATGATGTCTATTAGGTTTCAGTGTGAAGCATCACACTCCTGTGTCAAGGGCTTGAGCCTTGGCTGATGGAGCTGTTTTGAAAAGTGCTAGAAACTTCAGGAGACAGGCTAGCTGGAGGAAGTTGGTTGCTGGGCATGTGTCTCCAGGCACAATCTCTTGCCCTGTCCATTTCCCATCTCTCTTTCCGATTCCTGATTGTCATGAGGTAAGAGACCTTGCTCTGTGACGAACTCTCTCCACCATGACCCTCTGCCCACACAGGGCTCATCCTGGACACTATAGGATCTAACAGCAACAAGAAAAGACTCAAATCCAAGGCTGAATGAATATGCTATAAACAGCAGAGGGCTTCCTCAGCCAGCCTAAAATGCAGGTCCCTGGAGAGAACAAATGTAGCTTAGGACTGGGGAAAGTACCCC